ATCAGTTAGGGTTCATGTTGAGAGGGCAATTGCACGAATTACACCAAGTTGTTCCAATAACACTTGCAAAAGACCTGGATAAAATTTGGGAAATTTGCACAAATTTGACATTGTTTTTATCTCCATTAATTGTTGAACAGAAGTAAACACACATTGTTAATAGTTTGATAGGGCTTTGTTAGGGGCAGACCATTAGAAAAGTGATTGGGGGGGGGGGGGAGCAAAAATAAAAATCGAGCAGAGGAAACAAAGAAAAAAGTTTGTGCACCAAAATAAAAAAAAATTCATGCAATAAAAAAATATTTGTATAAGTTGAAAAAGTCACACCCTCCCCCATCACTTTTCTAACAGTCTGCCCCTTAACACATGAAAAGTAATATCAAGCCTTTTAAACACGGCTTCATAAGTTGCGACATTAGTTTCAGTATGTACAGTATTTGTCTTAGTGATGATTCTGTTAGAAAATACAGATGTACACTATTAACACATGACTATAATTCTGCATGTTTACTAAGTTTAACATATTTATTTTTGAAACATACACAAAGTAAAACTCTGATAACTGTGGTAACATGGTTTTCTCCCAAAGTTCCTTGTCAAAGTAAGTCTTGTCTCACTTAGTCATTTGAGTATGTGTCTGAAATTCTGTTGAATTTTTGAATTTGCTGCATTCAATTTGCATAAAAACATACAAAATTTTGGTTTCTAGTGAGGGAAGAATAAAATATGAATTCGAATATATATTATTGGGAATTCTATACTAAATTATGCACTGTTGTTTTAACAATCTACAATATTAAGTGCTTGCCATAATTTGGCACTGCTAGACGACGTTTGTCAAAGTATATGAAATAATATATTAGTATTATTAAAGATATGTTATCATTTTGATGTGATATTTTCAGTGTGTTGAACAGCTGCAAATTGCATCACATTATTTGCCCAAAATTCAAATTTGGGAATGGGTTAATGAGCTTCAGGTGTATAAAATGATATGTTTGTAAAGGTGGAATAAGCACTAGTCATTAGCTAGTGCTGAGACAAAGCCTCAAATGTTGTCCTTGTATATTTTTAGTTTAAATATTGCAGCTGGGTATAGCCCGGCTCCAATTATTGCTCTCGACGTAATATATTCTCACTGCTCACTTTCCCTGCGCAATACCTTTGACTGAGGGAATTCAGATTGGGGATAAATAATTTCCAGCTCCGGCGGACTCCGGCTCAGAAAAACCCCTCCCTTGGAAATTGATGAAAAGCTAAAAGACTGCTTTTAAAGAAATATTGGTGAAACATGCACGTTACATCACCAAAAGCATCTTAACATGCACGATAAATATCTTAAGTTATAAATGGAATGTTGCATTCCTAGCACCCAAAGCACATTTCCACGGTGCTTTACCCAAAATGAGGTATTTCGCCCCACCAAAGCATATTGTGCACTTCACCCAAAGCGAGCTTTTCTTTTCTAATGTGTGTGTGGACGTATGCTGTGTTGCTCTACAGTATTTCGTCTTTTATAAAGCTAATTTTCAATATTTGTTCTGTATTTGTTTCTTTCCAATATTATGGGGGATATAAAAGCTCTTAAGAAAGAGAATGACAAACTAAAGTGGGGAGTTGATATCTCGATTTGCGATATCGATATTGCACACAGAACTCCTATACGCAGTACTACAACAAATGGCCGCCAAAGTCAAACTAATCCAATAGTATGTAAGTTTGTTAGGCGGCTGGCACGAGATAAAGTGTTGGCCGCAAGGAATAACTCAAGTGAAGTATCAGTGAATGATCTGAAACTACCATCTATGGCAAAGTTGGATCGTATTTTAAGTTTCAACCATTTAACACCAAGGCTCCAGGAGTTATTATATGAAGCTAAAAAAACATCGAGCTACTCACAGATATAAGTTCTGTTGGGCGAAGGGTTGGGCAGTTTTTCTTCGCAAGACGGATAGTTCTAGAGTGATTAAGTTGAATACCATGCAGGACTTGGTTGATTTGCAGGGACGTGAATCTCATGTTGGTGATTGGTCAAATCGTTGAAGTTAAGTCTATGAGTGTGTTTCTTTGTTGTGTGTGTACATGTTATACAAATTTTATTTATATTCATGAGATTTAAACCAATATGAAAATATGGCTACAACGATCATGAGAAACAAGGCAGAAGAGCGTGTCCGTAAATTGTTGTTATGTGAATTGCCGTATTTTAATTATAGGGGAGATTTGGCCTCTTATCTTGGCGAAAATGCTTGTAACAATCAAATTAAATCGAAGAGAAATTTGGATAAATTAACCAGTTTATATGATCTAGACTTGTTTAGTCTGAACACTAATTTAGACAATCTAAATTCTAATGAATATGCAATAAACCGACCCATATTTAGTCGGTATTTCTCTCCACACAGCTTTAGACGCATGAAAAACAGATTAAATGATCAAGAAGTTAATGGTTGTTTTTCGATATTTCATAATAATGTCGTAAGTTTAAATCGAAATCTCGAAAATCTTCAGACCCATTTATTACATGAACTTGATTTTCATTTTAATATTATTGGGGTTACAGAGACAAAAATTTCAAATCTTAATCAACCAATGTGTTATCCATATATTCCTGATTATATATTTGAGCATGCACCTACCCCTTTAGCATCGGGTGGTGCTGGGATGTTTATTGATGAAACATTAAATTATCATATCACAAGGGGGGCGGGGGCATTTGCCCCCCCCCCCCCCCCAGCTTGTATGTTAAAAAAGGCCCTGCTATATTGCATATATCTTATTTTTAAAGTTATTTCCCCCAATTTTTGTCCCAATTACGTTGATCTTTTCCCCTTTTTTTTTTGGGGGGGGGGGGGGGGGGTTAACTGATAATGCAGCCCAAGTAAGAATAATTACCGCCTCTTCTATTTACTTACTTACAGTTACAGTGATAATTGGCTTTTACTCCTTTTAAGCTTTAAGATATCCAGTTCAAGTTAACCTTGATCACTGCTTACATGTTGGACAAAACCAGTTCATGGTGTTAACGGTGAAGATTTCATCAGACATTGTTAGGACACATATCTTGTGGAACCATTCGGAACACGACTCGCATTGAGCACACCAAAGATCTGGGTTTTGTGCATCCTGTGTGATCCATGGCATCCGGCATTTACACATCAATGATGACTTTACACATTTGGGTCATGCATTTTGTCGATTTTCGACCTTTGCAATGGGAAATGGCTGGAATGATCCCTGCTTTAGACATCTAAGCAGATGGTCTCTCATACCACACACTCTGAAAGTAATATTCAAAGGATCTTGTTTGAACAGCAGCGCAACAAGAAATGCAATTGCAAAGACACCACAATCCACAAAATTTGCCTGCTGTTGTACAGGTGGTACGTTCACAGTTATTGTGGGTCCTTTCTCCATTAGTAGAGCAGCAATCTGTTCCTTTACACTGGGTGTCATCCGTCCTTTAACATGCTGTCATACAGGTTAATTGAGAAAGGTGTGAAACCAATTTTGGATACCAATACCCAATGATTTTTACTGGTGTGGAGAATTTGTGAAAATTCTCCCTAGTGTGTGGTGAAGTTGAAACATAACCCAAAGTTGTGTTTTCCAAACCTTCTGCCTCAGAAAACTGTTTGTGCAATACAGAATGCGCTATACCAATGATGTGGTCAGTCAACTCCTTTCCTGTTATAATGGTGTGTATATCTACATCCTCCAATTTGAATTGGCTTTTTTTTCTTTGTTTGTTCGTCTGGAGGCTGCTGATTATCACAACTTATCACTGACAGGATTGTTGATTCCATAACATCAGTAATGGCATCATTGACTTTACTGAGTGGAACATTGGTCACTGTTAATTCCACCATTTTATTGTCAGCTATGATATCGTTTACAACAATACAATCAACTAAAACATTAAGCTGTGCTCTTGACACCTTTGCTGGCTTTCCTTCAATATCTTGTAAACTTGAGATGTAACTTCGCTTCAGTGACATTGCCTTTGCACGACATCAGCCTGAATAAGGTTTCTTCTTAGGCGCAGTTGGTAATTGCTTGTATGTTGTTGATTTGATAGGATGCTGATTGACTGGTGTAGTGGTTTTGACAGCCAGTCTCTTTGGCGGGGGTACCTCAAGGGTGATTCCATTTTCCTTTGGTGCATAATCTTTGAGGAACTGGTAAGACGTTTCCAATTTCCTGTTGAGCTTTTCAAGAAGTTTACCATCTTGCCAGCCTTCTGCAACATATGTCAAGTTCTTAATTTGCCCCAAAATTTCACGACTCCTGGCTGCTTCAGTTCTGTGGTTTGTCTTCTTTTGTGGCAGATCGTTGAAGACTGTTAATGGTTGGCTTGTTGATGTCAAGTCATCGAGAACATCTGTATTGTGGTCAAATGACTGACAGTACTCTTGGATCAGTACTGGATCAGTATCAGTGCCAAACGTGACTCGGTAGCATTTGGCAGAATCTTGTTGACTCCTGACTGTAAAATCTCCTTTCTCCTGATCTACAACAACAACATGCTGAAGTGGGATGTTGCCAGGATGATGCATCTCACCTTTCCATACATTGCTTAATGATGGTGTGTGGCCTTTCGTGTAGGAATTTCGGTATATTTGTATTATAACTTTGGTAGCTACTCAACAATTTGGTATTCATCTCTACATACCTGTCAAATGAGATGCACTAAACATCGCTGGTTATTTAATAATTGTTCGCCGAAAGTGAGGCGAGTATTGGGGGACAATATGTACAAAGTCGAAAATACACATTTCTTTATCACTTACTTTAACCATGGATAATAAAAGCAATTATCTATTTATCTTAAGTTTCTCAATTATCCATGTTTTAGCAAAGCGGCTTGCCGCCAAAAAGGTTTAGGTAAAGATCGCATTGTAATCCGAGGTAGCGTGAATTTATAAAATTTATCAACAAAATCAGCTTAGCGAATTTAAAGTAGGTTATTCGATTGCATGAAACATAAGAAAAAGTTTCTTCCTCTTGATTCTAGTCTATATTCCATGCATTGCCTCTTTAATGAACTTACTTAAAATACTGATCAGGAAGGAATTCTTCTACCAAAATCGTCAGCATAATGCTCAACGTGGAGTGCTTGTACCCTTCTAGATATTCATGTTTAAACCACTGATCTAATAGTAGACTGGATATAGCTTCTCTAGGTGTGAAAAGTGAAGCCAAATTATATATGCGAAAATCACTTCCGGGGACCACGGAGTGATACAAATTACTATAGAAATGTATGGCGAACAACGTGAACCAAGGTGAATTTTCCCGAATTTGAGATACTTTGCGAAGTTTTACCAAGCTGATCACTCCACCGTGGGTAAAAGATGTTATGTTAATGCTTTTAAAACAAAAATTATCCAGATTGCCCTAAAATATCGTCAGTTTTGTTCGTTCAAAGTTGTCCATGCGGGAATAATATTTTATCGCCACAGTGGTATGACAGCACAATTTCTAGTTTGCTTTCCAATTACGGAGACAGAATATGATCAAGCAAACTTTTACAGGGAACTTACTTCCCTGTAAAAGTTTGCTTGATCATTTATCATTTATGTTTAACCTTGATCGACCAGAAGGTTTCAAACTTTCAATTATCCATCTTAAAATAAGCCTTTTTACAAAATATATATACAGTAGTCAGTAGATGTTTTCAATTATTAAATAGTTCTAAAGATATGTAATAAATATATTTGTACTTTTAGTACTTGTTTTTATTTGTTATTCTGTTAAACTGGAAGACAATCTTATTGAAGCTTTCTGTAGTAAGAGTGAATCCATAGGCGTACGGGGGGGGTGGGGCCCCCCCAAATTTTTTGAGAATTCATTTATTCGGGCAAAAATTGTCTTGTCATTCGGGCAGCGACGGTCTGGTGATTAGATGAATATATTGATCCATAAAGTGGAACAGAAGTATTATTCCAACAAGTTCAACTTTTACAAGTTCAATCATGCACTGTAAATCTGTCATGGCAACGTTTGTGTATATTTATTACTACCATAGAACGTATAGCTTGATTCAAGGATGTTGCGTCAGGTTAACCTTTATTAAAGGTCAAGTACTGCTAGTGCTCCAACTTAATCGGATTTGGTTTTGATTTTTACGCACATACCACAGACGTAAATCCCCACAGAAACGCCTAGAACGAAGGAACAATTGCTATCATTGCTACTAATAAAATGTCACTACTGTATTCATGCCTATATTCAGCAGTTTTACCTAGCATAATGTAAGCTATACAACTATTAAACTATATAAATATATAGTTTAGAACATTTAAGTGTATAGTAAGAACATTTAAGTCTGTGTGTATTAAATGTCACACCACTCGCCCACTAATGAACTTATCAACCCGAACATGTTGCTAAATTTAGTTTTTGTTCGTTTGTTCGTCAATACGTTTGCTTTGTCTTCTTGTATTTGTGTTTAATTATTATGTTTGCTTTAACTTCAAAATAATTAGATATACCATTAGTTGCTCTTTTTTGGAACCCCGTTATTGGAGAACTATCACTGTGTGGAAATTCCAGTCATTTGTAACCATAGTACTCTATATAGATCTATTGCAATGGCAAACTTGTAAAATAAAAAATAGTATATAGCTACACATATTGCGAAGGTGTGGTATAAGTGTGCGTAGTAACAATCGGATCAGTAAGGTTATCTCCTTTGATAGCATTGGTTGCGTAAATACAGTCTCTGGTCTTGGGTGGCACCGCGGCTATGACACACCAGTCACTGAAATAGATACTACATTGTACGTAATAGACATTGACGTAACCGTACAAATACTGTACAATGACCTAATGTGACTAATTTTAGACTTTTAGATAGACATAAAAGTGTGCGATCTTTTTACAATCATTAAAAAAATATTGATTTTATGACCATTCGCTCCACGATCGCTATAGAAACAATCGCCTAGAAGATTACAACACTCAATAGCCAAGCTCTAATAAAGCGTATGGCATCTCGTAAAAGACAGTACCGACATCGCGTTCGGTGCGAGGAATGCAATAAGGAAGTCGACAGTGATTATAAAGAGGTGCATTCTCGATTGGTTCACAATGGTAAAAAAGTAAAATGTCATCCAGTGATGGAATCATCGGATTCATCCCAGTCGAAAATCAGAACTTTCTTTGTAAAAAGTAACATGACAACTAAGGACGATAACCTGCAGTATGACTTAACCCTACTGGGAACTGAATCGAGTGGTAGTAAAGATTCTCCAGTCACAGTGTCTTTTGATGAAGATCTATCTGAGAAAAATGTGAAGGAACCCATGAGCGAAGACCAAACGGAACCAATGACAGCGTTCATTGATGTTGATGAATTAAATGCACTACCACAGCTCAGAGAAAGTAGTGAACAGAATACGGTGACGGACAGTGAAGATGTTACACCAGAATCAATGACGACTTCTAACATGCTAGCACCTACATCAATGGATGATCTAAGTTCACCAGCACCTATTCTGGACGAACAGTCTGAAAAGGTTTCCGTTCCCAGTGAGAATACAGAAAAGATTTCCACCCCCCACGCCCCAAAACAACCTATATTAGATGAATACCCTGCAAGAAAATTCGGCAATGAGACATTTGTGCGAAGATTTCAATCTGAATGGTACAAGAAGTATCCGTGGATTAGTTACGAAGTGGATAAGGATGCATGCATGTGTTTTGCCTGCGTAGAATGTGGGAAGGATACTTCATTTGTGTTTAGGAATTGGAAGAAGTCAGCAAAGCTAGCAAAACATGGCAAGAGCGAGAACCATGTTAGATCCATGACAAGATGGCTCAATTCAAAGTAATGCAGAGAAACAAAACTTCCATACTACAGCAGCTGAATACTGCACATCAGGACCAGGTTGCTAGTAACAGACAATACTTAAAAGTAATCATACAATCCTTGATGTAAACTGCACAACAGAATGTTGCGATTAGAGGTCATGAAGAGAACCGGAATGATATATGGGAGGTATCTGATATAAATCGAGGGAACTTTCTCGAGTTACTTTGCATAAGATGCAACGATTTACCTTGGCTGAGGTCTAAACTGCAAAGCCAGCTCCAGTTACATGCTCAGTGGACATCACCTGTTATTCAAAATGAACTACTGGAAATAGTAGCAAACGTCATGCTTGAGAGGATAGCAGCAGAAGCGAGAAGTAGCGACTATTATGGAATAGTTGTCGACGAAACGGCAGATATCAGTCGAACAGAGCAGGTATCTCTTTTCCTTAGATATGTTTTCAACGGCGAAACCAAAGAGACATTTACTGGTTTCTATTCAACCAAATCCACGGAAGGGGAAGTATTATATGAGCTAGTAAAGACAGCCATTAGCAAGCTGGAATTGAGGTTGGAAGACATAGTTGCAGAATGTTTTGATGGCGCTGCAAATATGAGTGGAGCTCGTAAAGGGCTTGCCGCACGTATGAA